AAATATCTCTCTCTCTCTCTCTCTATATATATATATATATATATATATATATATATATATTCAGAGATATGAATTATTTAATATTCTTTATATTTTCTGATTTAATTTCAAAATATTAATCAAGATCAATGAGTTGGAATAGTTGTAAAAGGGACAAGATGTTTAATTAATTTGTCTCTTGTGGTTGTTGTGATAGATTTCTCTTGTCATCATAAATTCACGGGTAAAGTTAGACAAACGGGTAGGAAATTTACGACCATAAGGGAAAACATTTTCGATATTACAGAATGCTCCAAGTGTTTTCAAAATTTACATTTTTTTTGTTTTAGTTTGATTGTCAATCCCGTATTTGCAACACTAGATCAGATCAGTTTTTTTTAATTTTTTAATTGTAAAACTGTTTGGGAGCCTAGAGGTCTACCAAAAAGTTGGATTGTAACATGTCCCTGATACGGGACAACCTCATTGTAAGGTACTTTTCATGTTTTGGGTCTTTAATTACAGTCCGATGTTTGAAATATTGAATTACCTGCTCACCAACTTTTTGGATGTGAAATTATAATATAAATCCTTGTGCAAGTGTATGAACGCATTCGTTCGTGTACGCACACTTACACACACAAAGAGTGCATATTTATAGTAATTACACAGAGAGATTGTAATTATGGATGTTGGCACGTACCTTACATGCTTGCACATGTATCGTGCATGCATGCATCGGTATATGAAATATCGGACCAACTATTTTAGACAAAAAAAAAAAAGCGGGTTGATATTTCAAACATCCCACTACTACCAAAAAGAATAACAGAAAAATATGCCAGATCGATGTTTAAAACGCCATATCGACCCAAAAAAAGAGAAACGGCATACAATGAACAGCTTAGATTGCTGTGACCTTGCTCCTATAAGGTTCCAACCTTGTACAAACTTTTCGCCCTTTTATTTCGTCACTAAATTGTGTGGTGTACCATAATATACTTAGGCACATCATCTAGAAACGGACGATGGAGATCAGCCATTGTAAGAATACTTGTGGGGTAAGTTTTATCTCTACCGTCCATCTTGTGCTGCAGATGTTGGACTACCTATTGGTGTAAAATATGGCAAGGTATATTTTTTATGCTATGGAGGTCCAATGTCCATGTCCCTTTGTTTCATTTTCAATTAAGAATTAGGAAACTCATAACTTTTTGTCATGGACATTTTGTGTACAGTATGAACTCCAAGATATATCTCTTTAACCATAAAATCAATGTTCTAACACGCCATGCTATATGTGTGCACTCTCTTTCCCACTTCATGCTCTAAGATATATGTGTGCACTCTCTTTCCCACTTCATGCTCTAACACGCCATGCTATATGTGTGCACTCTCTTTCCCCTTTGTTTCATTTTCAATTAAGAATTAGTAAACTCATGACTTTTTGTCATGGACATTTTGTGTACAGTATGAACTCTAAGATATATCTCTTTAACCAAAGAATCAATGTTCTAACACGCCATGCTATATGTGTGCACTCTCTTTCCCACTTCCATCAACAATATGAGCACTCTCTTTTTCTCTCTTATAAACAATCAGCAATATATGTGGAACTCTCTTTTTCTCTCTCATCAGTCATCAACAACCTATAATTCTATGCTATAGGGACTAAATTTATGAGGATTTAAGTGCCATCGTCATGCCATTATAGCTTTCCATATATTTTCATGCTATAGGCACTAAATTTATGAGGATATTAAGTGTCATCGTCAGGCCATTATAGCTTTCTATTTTAATTCATCACATAATTGGCATTGGATAAATTAGGTAAAAAGACATATCTCTCTCTCTATAATTATAATCTCAAATAACCTTTTGTTCGTTGTACCCACTCTTTTTAATCTACTTGTGAGGTTCACGAGATAAGAGTAATATGAGGATTCAGGGAGGGTTGAGAGAGAGAGGGGAATACTTAGATAGATCTCAAAATTTTGGATTAAAAAAAAATCCTTCCAAAGCTATTTTACTCGAGGAGTCTTCGTATAATATACTTTCACGGGAGTATGTTGTATACACTCTTTCATTTTATCTCTTTTTCTATAAGATTAAACTCAAATTTGGTATGTCCATATTTTTAATACCTATAAAAATATTAAAAAATTTTAAAATAATAAATAACCAAAATACCTCTACAATATATAAGGTAATTTTGATAATTTTACTTATTTTAAATTATTTTTTAACTATTTTTATATATGTGTAAGATGATGAGAAGCATGAACACCAAATTTTAGCTTAACCTAATATAAAGAAAAAAGAGAAAATTAAAATACATTATATACTTTAAAAAATGGGACTTGAGTGTAAAATGTGAAATATATAAATTAAATTTTAAAAATAAAACATATTTTTTCAGTAAATATCCCCTATAAAAATAAGAGGTCAAAATGAGTATTATAATTCGATTTGAGCCTATACATCCTCATAAGTTGTGGACTAGTCATATTTATGCAAGAAAAGACTCCATGTAACATGAAGTCAAGCTGAGGAGTAGTCACATTTAAGCTAGAAATGGCCCTCTACAACAAGACGATTGAAAGAATCCTCCATGATCTCTTTTTTTGACAAATAGTATTTAATTCATTATGATTCGAAAATTTCCATGATAAAAAACATACTCAAAATTACGAAGATTCATAAACTACTGTTAGGTTTGATAGAGATAGCTGTTATTTGGCCAGCTGGTCTGCTTTAGTATTGGCTTCTATATAAACATGCTTAAAGGAGATGTTCAAAGATGCACAGTAATCAGCAATTTGTCTCCACGACAATGTCAATCTCCAAGGCACTGTCTGATCTTTCCGACGCCATGGAATTGCATTTTGTTAGTCACCTTCCACCAAAAGCGAATCACTCAACCTTAACTCCACAAAAGGTTCTGTGTTGTAGCAGAGCACATAATTCAGCCTCATTTTCTGTCATAGAACGACACAGACTTGAATATTACAAGATCAATACACCCTGTGATCTCTAAATAATCTACCCACTCCGACCAGTCTAGGATTTCTCCCTCTGACGCCATGGAATTCCATTTTTTTATTCACCTTCCACCAAAAGCGTGCCACTCAATCTTGACTCTACAAAAGGTTCTATGCTTTCTAGCAAAGTACATAATTCGGCCTCATTTGCTGTCATAGAACCACATAGACTAGAATACGAATAGATCAGTATCCTGTGATCTCTAAATAATCCATCCACTCTGGCCAGTCTAGGATTTCCCATCAAACTTCCATCAAAATTTAACTTTATAGATCCCTATGGAGGAAGAAACTATCTACGATTGACATTCCCCAACTCGACCATACTATCAAAATTTACCACATGATCCACATTAGAAATTCCTGTTCATTTTGTATTTATCCCCATCCAATTGAATAAGGCGTCCAAAATCCTATATCTGATAATCTCATCTAACAAACTCCCTTCAAAAACCCTTTATGTTTCTCTCTTTCCAAATTTCCCATAAAATACCAACCTTGAATCCTTTCCAAATGATATTTGTAAGTTTTGGTAGATTGGAAAGATTGAGATGATCCAAAATACCTGGATGCCTACAAGGAAAATCAATGCATACCCCTAACTTGTTAAAAGCCCGTACCCAAATTTGATAAGCAAAAGGGACATCTAAAAAACTGGTGATCTCCATCATCTTCATCATTCTTACTCATCATACATATATTTATGATAATACGCCCTGTTTTCCGTAGCTGATCAACCATTAGAACTCTCCCCAACATGAATATATGAATTTTTGAGGAATCCACACTTCTGCTACCATTGGATCAGTCCATCTCAATCTATCATTATAGATAGAGTTATTTTCCTGTGAAAATTCCATCAGTTCCATTCTCCCAAATAATCTCATCATCCGTGTTTGCCGAAATGTATGCCTCCTTCAATATCTTTTACAATGAACTATGCTGGTTAATAATCACATTGGGGAACCTATTGTAACTATTATGGATATTCCAATTAGTTTCAAATCCTCTCCTTGACATTACATCCTCCGCCATAACATATTGATTACTACATATTTTGTGTAAACAAGGGAATTGGAATCTTAAAGCTACATCATCCACCTATTTATGATTCCAAAACAAGGCCTTTTCTGCCTTACGAATCATCCACTGCGAATTCCTCATAAAAAGCTCTTTACAATACAAAATCCCTCTCTAGACCAAGGAACATTCATTCTTCTCTTCCCATGTTCAATCGACAAAAGGTCTTTATGTACTCCATATTTAGCCATCAGAACCTCCTTCCCTAACTGCATTTCTCCTTGAGAACTACGCCACTACCATTTAGTCAAAAGAGCTTTATTCATAAGTCTCAATCTCCTTATATCTAACCCAGCCTCCTATTCTGATATACACACCTTATCCCAGCTAACTAGATACATTATCATCTCTTTCCCACATAAAAGTCTTCATCAAACATCCTAGATTTCTGGCTACACCATATGGCAAAACAAGTAAGGAAATGAGATAGCAAGATAGATAGAGATGATTTGGTCAGAGTTACTCTTCCCCCCAAAGAAAGATACTTAGTCTTCCATAAATCTAGTTTAAAGCTGAAGTGTTGTAATACTAGGTCCCAAAAAGATCTCGAGAGTCTAGAAATAGAGATGAAAATTTCCATGTAATTGATTGGAAAATCTTCCACCTTACACCCCAATAAATTTGCTAATTTGTCTTTGAATACATCTGGATTAAAAACCCCCATTAGAACCGTTTTGCTCATATTTACTTTAGACCCAACAATGACCCACATCACAAAAATCTTCTCAAAATATGACTAGGAATTGCATCACAAAAGCTTAAAGTATTATCCGCATATTGCAGATGAGAAATATTCAAACCATAATCGACAACTATAAAACCCTTAATAAGACTAGTATCTTCTACCCTTCTCAACGTGATGCTAAAGGCCAATGCCATAAACTTGTATAAGAATAGAGACAAAGGATCCCCTTGCCTAATGCCTCTATTAGCTTTTAGAAAACACTTACAGGTGCTATTTTTGAGAATTGACAAATTGGTGCTAGACATACAACCGATCTATTTTGTTTGATCAATTCACTTTATCATCATAAGCTTTTTCAGGTACCAATTTACATAAAACACCCGATTTATTGATACTCTTCCTAGACTAAACACATTCTTGAGCAATCAATATACTATCCCTCATGAGCCTATCTTGAATAAAGCTGATTAGGTCCCACCTATCACATTAGGAAGCACGTTCTTCAACCGGGAGGCCAAAGTTTTTGCTATATTCTTTTATAGACTTGTAAGGAGAGTGACTGGGTGTACATCATTAAAATTTCCCATATTTGTTTTCTTAGGGATTAAAGCAATATACGCAGAGTTATTTTGGCTTATCACCCCTCTCAAAGAATTCTTCCACCATAAGAATAAAATCACCCTTCACCACCTCCCATAATCTTTGGAAAAAACCAGAGGAAAGCAATCTAACCTGGGTGTCGTGTCTCTTGACAATGCAAAAATGGCTTCCCGAATGTCATCTTATTAAACATCAACCTCCAAATATGTTTTACCCATTCATCTATATTTATGCTGCCGTTTCAATCGACACTGAATTTATTTATTTATTTTCTGCAATGTTAGTTAGATTTCGCAGATGTCTCTGGCATTCAAAAAATTGAATTTCATATGTTTAGTTGTCGATCCAAGCCAACCATCCAATGTGAAGCATGAAAAAAGTGAAAGTTTTCTATGATTTCCCCACATTTGCAAGATACAAAATGCGTTTTAAATTTATACAGGAAAGCAGTCCTGTTCTATCAAACATCTATTACCCAACATGCCATCAAGAACTCCCCCCTTCCTCCAATTAAGTATGGAATTTACACACATAACAAAGGGAAAGACAAGAAAAAGACCTCAAATCATAGCCACTTATCCTCACAACCCACACTCATCCTAAATGAGAATTCCCTGCTAAGCCTTTCCTCTTCATCATTCCCTTCGTACTCCTGCTCCGACCCCAACGACAAAGGCTGCGGCTCGGGCATCTGTGCCATGATCTGTTGCGTCAGTGGCAGCACGCCGGAGGCAACAGTCCTGCGGGCAGGCCTTATTACAGGTGCCCCATCCCACAGGAACACATGTAAGAGTATTGGTTTGAGAGCATGACGGTGCAATGAAAGCTTTTGACTTAGAGAGATTGTATCGAAACATCGTACAGCACCGCTAAATGAGACCATCCATGGCAAAACCTTTTCATCTGAAACCCGAGATATTACCAATAGTTTGGATGATGCGACTGCGGCTTTGTATAGGGTGCTTAGCCCTGAGCGTGAGGCGACTGATTGTTCAACGTCGTTTGCTACTGAGGAAATGTGGATGAATCCCTGTGGAGAATGTAAAATAATGAGAAGGATTTGCGAATTAAGTTTTTGAATTCGGGAGAGAGTGCAAAAACAGATAAAAAAGGTTTTCAGGGATAAGACCATTAATCCTGCTTATGTGGTTAAAGTCATGAACTTCACGTTTGGCTGAAATCTCAGATATGCATATGAATTTCAACCAAAAGTTAGTGAAGATTTTTCTTGAAATTGGATTTAAAATTCTGAAAATTGGTGCGGACCAAATTCAGATTCTATTGCTTCACTAGAATTAGATATGAAATTATCAAAATCCAGAAATAATTTAAAAAAGGGAAATATAAAAACTAAATAAATAGAAAATGTAAATTAAAAAACACACCTAAAATATCAACTATCTCCCCCATGATTATGTATCCTTTGATGGGATTTTTATAATTTAATCCAAAGAAATGAGCAGATATTAAATAGTTTATCTCTAATGTACTTTTTGAGAAATTTCCAAAAATTGGTAAATAATCTAGAGGGTTGTGATCTATCTAATACTAAATTTTATGATTTTCTTTAAATTCTTTTATGTGGCCTTAGTTGGAACCGAGTACTCGGCTCGACAAGGAGTCAAGTCCGAGTGGAAAACATTGATCAAACCACACATAAAATATGAACTGCTTAATTTTACCTATTTATCAAAGGGAAAGCTTTATGTCTGACCCGAACCACATACCAATTATTTGTGACCTCATTTCTCAGCCGTTCGATCAGAATCGATAGCTAGGATAGTTCATGTGGCAATGTCACGCCAAAATGCTATTTGATTTTTAATTTTTTTCTGCACAACCTTTTTGGCTGAAATTTAGGGTGGGGGCACATCTAGAAAAGAAAAAAATTCTCATGAAGATAAATAACCAAAATGCCATTGAACATGCTAGTGGTATTTTGGTAATTTTTTATCACACGAATTATTCTTTTATTATTTTTATCATGTGTGTTCCTCTTAGATGTATGCATGCCCCATATTTCATTGCAAAATAATTTATAGATTAAAGATTAAAAAAAAAAAGCACTTTGAGCCATCAGATCAAGATCTGACGCGCGAGAGCTAAATTGTTACATTGTGACTCAAGTCATCTCAACCATCTACTTAGATCTGACGGCTGAGATATGGAGTCACATATGTTTTTANATATATATATATATATATATATATATATATATATATATATATAGTCGGTCGGTACTAGTAGTAAGGAACGTCCTTACCGTACCGTACGTACCGTAACCGTA